GGACGGACGGATGTTACAATTGAAAGAATTCATATATCTATCAACATAAAGGATATTGGGAAAATTTAACAAATGATTTTTCATGTGTTAGAGTTAGCAACAAAATCGGAAACGGGATATTTCGATAGCATACGTTCCAAGGAACATTTTGATATCAAAAACTTGCGAGTAACAAATTATTTAAACAATGTTTCAGACGATAAAGTGCTCGGCCGATGCTGATAAACTAATTATTTTTCATGTGTTAGTGTTATCAAAAAAATCGGAAACGGGTATATTTCGATAGTATACGTTCCAAGAAACATTTTGGTACCAAAAACTTGCGAGTAACTAATTCTATACATGTAAATTTTGGTCATAACCTTGCGACGCGCGACAATGCAGTTTTGATTATTTATCGGAATTTGTTTAACAATGTGATTTTTTCGATAGTTTTTTGCACTATCCTAGAGCAACAAAAAAGCAACAAAATCTTATGCATGTTTTTTTGATATCGCAGCTCCATATATATTTTTTCATTATGGGAGGGTCCAGCTTTATATTAACCTGGACCCCCCCATTTTTTTTTATTGCTGCTAAACGGTTGGAGCAACAAAATTCACTCTAAAGCAACTAATTAGCAACAAAAGAGCACTAAATTTTTTACCTATCGCGAATTTGATTTTCGATGGTGGGGGGTCCAGATTAATGGGGGTGAAAATGTGTCTATTCGCTCGATGATAATCGGTAAGATTGTAAACAATTTCACCGGGAGCCTAAACCCATGTTTTGTGTGGGATCCTTTGGAAACATAATTTTCAAAATTTGTATCAACAATTTATTTTAAATAAGATTTAATATCGAACTTAATCTTAATTTAAAACAAGTTATTTCAGTTTAATTTATCGGTTCCAAATAAAACTCAGAGTGGTGTAAAATTAATTTAGTTTATGTTACTTTTTCAAAATATTCTGCTTTTTCTCTCTTTCTCGATGATTGTTTGTGGGTACAGAAAAATGAAACGAGCGAGATTTCATTACAACTGTATTACAGCTAAAGTGGACGAGG